TCTGAAATATTTTAAGGAATAAAATGCCATGACCCATTTTTTTTTATTTTAGGAAGATTCCTTTGGCTGGGGCATAGAGAACTTGAATCATTAAAATTCTGAATAATTCTAGTGTATTTTTATCTATTTTAAATTGTGTCCTTCTTGAATCTCAGGGAGAACATTGGATTACAGTTGGGGCTTGCCTGAGTCAGCTTCAGGATTTTTGTGCATGGTAAGGCCCTGGATTTCTTGGGCTCAGAAGAGCACAGCTTTTGTGTAGTCCCATGACACCGACTTGATGTGCCCTCATTCTCTTCTTTTTCTTGATGAATCATAGTTTATGACCACAGTGGGCAGATCCTCCTGTCAGCCTCCACCCTCCCTGTCCCCATTAGGGGACCGAACCCTGCCAAGTTCTCTACTGGAGTCAGGGACACCACCTGTTATGCTGTGTCCTCCTCCCACTCGGACATCTGACAGCTTCTATAACACGATCTGGGAAAGCATAGATCATTAAAGCCACAGGGACCTCAGGAACAGTCCAGATCAGCTACCTAATTTATGAGAAGAGGAGGAGAAGGTGCCTCCTTGGACCCTAATTAACTGGGAAACAGAATCAGAGTTAAGGCAAGCTGTGAGAGAGTGGAAGATGATGGATAACTCTGCCACAGGTCAGACGTGAAATTTGCTTTGTGGAAGTGTGACAATTTAATAGTATCTAGAATATGAATCCAATAAATCAAGTTCCAATACTAATTCTGGAGTTGGTCATATGTGTGAATTTGTGGAAGATCTTTCCATCTATGATCAGCATTGATTTCATCCAGATCACAAGAGAATTGATCCTGTATAAGGTTGAAGTCAGTGTGAGGCCCCAGATTACAAAATTGGAGGACTCTAGTGGTAACTTAGAATAAAAAATTGAGATAATAGATGCCAGTTGATGATATCTTCTTTATTCTAAGTTATAAAGGCTAAAGGAATTGTCACTATTGCAGCAGGATCTGTGTCTCCACAGCCATGAAGAGGTGACCCTAGGCACTTCCATCCCCTTTAACTCAGGACTGTATTCAGCTGTGCTATTTCTGATGAAGACTCTATGGTCGTTGGAAGTTTTCTACTATTTCTTTCCCATGAATATGCATTCATCCTATTGCTCATCTTACATAATCTTCATTTAAAAAACTGGGAAGCTCCCAGACACAATATGCATAGGCTACTGATGGAGTACCTGTGATGTTGTGATGATACTGATGGCAGTTATGGTACTAATACATACAACTGAGCATCCACCTTCCTTGACACTCATTTAATTATCTTCACCATATTGTGGTCAATATACTGTGTAGTGTCTTCGTTAACATTATATGTCTGTTATGCTGACATATGTGCATAGTGAGAACAAAAAAATTCATAACAAGCCAAATACAACAAAAAAATTTTATAATCAAGAACTGTGAATCCAGAAAAAGAGAGGTAAATATATTTACAGAATGACTAGAATGATCCAGGTACAAATAAAATTAAATCTCATCTCTAGGCAGAAGATGTAAATAACTCACTATCTGTATAAAGAGTTAATACATAAACATTTTCCCTCCTACCATTTTCTAAACATAAGCACTTTGCTTCAACTCAAATAGTGACATGTGGGAGAAGATCCAGGGGGCTAAAGAATTGTTTTAGAGGAAGGCTTTGGAGTAGGGAGGTTTCCGATATGCCTTGTAGGCAGTCACCCAATCTGATGTTGGCCTTGATGCTGCCTGTGTTAAAAGACATTCTGGCTCTTAATCAGGAGGCTTTGCTTCCTGGCTGTCTTCTTTCCTCTCCACTCAATCAGGTTTTTTTCTATACTACTCAATAATTTTAATTTGGGCTTCTAATAAGTCCATTACTTTCATGTATAGATCTAAGAGATTCAGATGGCCTCACAGCATTACTATCCCTGAATCAATACACATACAAAAATGCATACCTGCAAACATGCACACAAACACACACACACACACACACACACACACACACACACACACACAAACACAAACACCAACACTCAGACACACACTTAGATTGCTGAAGGAACCTGTCATTTTTGTAGATTCAAGAGTAATGTCTATGAAAATGGTTATGGGGTTTGCAATTGTCCCTCTACTACTGTATTTCTCTGCCTTGAGGTGGAGTAAGCCTTAGAAAACTTGGAAGGAAACTATTTTTTTGTACACAGCAGTATACAAAATGGCTTCTTACATGGTTGGTACTTCTTACATGGTTGCTACTGTGTTAACTCTGGCCTTCCCTCCCTCCTTTTCTCTCTCTGTCTCTGTCTCTCTGTCTTTGTCTGCCTCTGTCTCTCTCCCTCACCCTCTCTCTTCTTCAACTTTACATCCCAAATGCTGCCACCCACTACAGCCCTTCCCCTCATACAATTCATCTCCATTTCCCTTCCCCTTCAACTCTGGGGGGATGTCAGATGACAGTACATCAAGACACATCCTCTACCACTGAGGACAGACAAGGCAGCCTTCTGCTACATATGTGCTAGGGGCCTTGGACCAGCCGATGTGTATTCTTTAATTGGTAGCTCATTCTCTGGGCAATCCCAGGGGTCCAGGTTAGTTAACATGACTATTTTGTCCTCCTTTCTATATGGGATTCAAGCACCCTCACTTGGGCCTTTATTTTTGTTTAAGCTCTTAGATTCTATTTAGTGTATCCTGGATATTTTAAACTTTTTGACTAATATCCACTTGTCAGTCAGTACATACCACACATGTCCCTTTGGATCTGTATTACCTCACTCAGCATGGTATTTTATACTTTCATCCATTTGGCTGAAAAATTCATGATGCCTTGTTTTTAATACCTGAATTGTATTCTATTATGTAAATGAACCACATTTTCTGTTTCCATTTTTGGTTGAGAAGCATCTAGGTTGCTTCCACATTTCTGGTTATTATAATAAAGCAGCTATGATCATTGTGGAGCACTTGTTCCTTGGGGTATGGTAGAGTATTTTGTGAATATATGCCCTGGAGCAGTATATCTGGATCTTCAGATAGAACTAGTTCCAATTTTCTGAAAAGCTTTCAGATTGATTCCCAGATTGTTTGCAATCCCACCAGCAATGGAGGGAGTGTTCCTCTTTTTTCCACATCCTGGCCAACATGTGCTGTCACTTCTGTCACTTGAATCTTTTATCTTAGCCATTCTGATTGCTATAAGGTGAAACCTCACTGCTGTTTTGATTTGTATTTCCATCATGACTAAGGATATTGAACACTTTTTAAGTGCTTTTCAACCATTTGAGATTCCTGTTATGAAAATTCTCTATTTATATCTATATTCCATTTTTATTTGAGTTCTTTTTTGAAGTCTATATTCTTAAGTTTTTTATATATTACAGATATTAGCTCCTTGTCAGATGTAGGGTTGATTAAAATCCTTTCCTAGTCTGTAGGCTTCCAAATTGTCCTACTGACAGTGTACTTTGCCTTACAAAAATTTTTCTGTTTCATGAGGTCCCCATTTATCAATTTTTATCCTACAGCCTGAGCCATTGCTGTTCT